ACAGCCTTACTGTATTTTTCTAGGGGTTCTGACATTGTTTTTAAAGTCTCAGCTGGAGGTTAATGAAAATTAACTTGGATCTTAATATCCATGAAAAAGAAACTCTTTAAAACGGGAGTCAGATATAAATACACGGGAGGAAATAGTATAATGGAAACACAAATGGCTGACGTTTTAAAATTTTTGTTTAGATTTGCTGCATCGTTAAATGTCTCATCTTAAATATAAACTTTGCAATGTGTTTCTACAGTTAATCAAAAGAATCAGTTATCTCTCAAGATTTTGGTTAAAACATTAGTCAGTACGTTTAAATTGCATGGGGTACACACACTTCACTTTTTAAATGTCTCCTGGACATTTCCTGATTGTTGTCAAGCGCTGGAAGTCATTAAGTTTACAAGATTCTGGGGTGAAGTACGCGCGCGCGCGCACACACACACACTTAAGCATCAGCAGCACGAACGCAAATGCAGGCATCAGAAAGTTATATAAGAAAAGCGGTCACTCCTCTAAGAAATCAGTTCAAGCATAGGTAATCTATTAAACTGCATATGTAGAGGGCCGGGCTGGGTCACAGGAACTAGGAAGCAATGTAAAATACACTGGGAAATGAGGGCACTTAAGAGCTGAATGATGCAGGCACCGCCACCAGAGGCATCTTCTGGCATTCCTTCAGAAGGAGCAAGAATGGGTTGTCTTTAAAGAGCCCCTAATGACCTGGCTAACGGCACAGCCTCAAACCACCACATCGTGAAACAAATCCCACCAAGTGGGAGACAAGGCTGGAGGAGTCGCATTAAATGATCCGTCCATTCACTAATGCTACCCTGGCTGTCACCGGCCTGGGACTCGCGCACTTCCCAGCATTGCCACCTGCTTTCTACTTTCTCGGGAAGAGGTGGTGGCGCGCGGGTCCTGGCCCAGAGGCTCCAAAGGCAGAACTAATGATGAATATGTGATTCTCAACCCCATGATCAAGTCTCAGTTCCCCAGGGTCGGTTCCGGGACGGCGCGCGGCCCCACGGTGGAAGGCTGAGAAGTTCCCCACGGCGGAGCCAGGGCAAGGGGACCCGAGGGGAGGGGGGCGGCGCCAGATCTGAGCGCAGGAAGCCTCGGTCCGTGGGCCGGGACCGTGGGAAGCCAAGCTGGGGGCGGAGCCGCGCGGAGCCTCACCGGGGCCCGGCTCCGGGATCCCCTCACGGGGAGCGGGCATAGAGGGGGCACCCTGGCCGCTACCTGCTGTTGGATCTTCCCGTCCTCCGTGACGACCCAGTGCGTAGTGGCCAACGCCCCTCGAGCCACCACGCTCAGCAAAGCGGAAAGGCTGATAAGCCAACCTGGGCCAGAGCTAGGTAGCAGCTCGAACCGGCCGCGGACCCCTACTGCCGCCGCCATCTTGCCCCCCCGGCCGGGCTGCTCACACCGGAAGCGGAAGCTACTCCTTGCGGTCCGCCATCTTGGGGAGGTCGCCTCTGGAACTGGAGGAGGAGCTCGCAGAGTACCTCGGAGTCAGTACCCGTCTCCTTACTCTCGGTTGGGACAGCCGGTCCTGCCACACCCCAGAGCTGGAAGCTACTTTTTGGTTATCGTTTTTCTGTAGGCTATATGATGTCCAAGAGTGGGAACCAGTGGGGGAGATAATAATAGACTAGGTGGAGCTTGAGCAGAAGTGAGAAGACGGTGGAAGTCTTTAAAAAAAGTAAGTATTGTTTCTGGAAGTGTAATAAAAGTTAAGACTCTCCAACTCTCTGAGAGAGAGTTTTTTTGTTTTTGCTTTGTTTTTAAATAAGGCTCGTAATGGAATGTCAAACGGCGCAGTTGTACTGTTAATGCATGTCACATCGAAATTAAAAAATTGCTTGTTACCAAATACAAAATAGCAGCTCATGACAAGATATGCATATATGATCGGCATACTTTTTCTTCCTAAATTTGGAAAGCGATGTGTACTTAGAGATCAGTTACATCTGGTGTAGCCAGATTTCTGGGTCTTAGCAAGACGTGTCTTGTGGACTTTGTGTGCAACTTTGGTCTAAGGTAAAGACCTAAGTGTAGAGCCCAGATATTGGCATCTCCTGGGACTGTATTAAATATGAAAGAGGCTCACTACCAACAGGTAGACTAGCTGTTAACTAGTTTAGGTTCCAGGCTCTGCCAACACATGTTCTTATAGATATTTCAGGTCTGCCTGCTAGTATGGTGTATATCATCTTGTATCAAAGTTTGTTATGCTTTTTTCTGTTGAGAAAAAAAATATGAGAATTTTTTTTCCTCCCACCTACAGAGGTATGTTGCAGGCAAACAAATGTCTGCTTCATGTTATGGGATCACAGATTATGCCATGGCTTTTAAAATTCTTCTGAGAGCAGTTTAGGTTTGTTTCTGAAATGAAGCCCCCCACTCCCCAATTGGCAGCCTAAATTGCCTGGAATTTATTATTTAGCCCAGGCAGACCTTTAAGGCCTCCTTTGTCAACTGCCTGATGCTGGTATTACAGGCTTGAACCATCAGGCCCAGCTCCCAAGGCAGCTTTTCTTAAAAGTTCTGATGCAATGAGCTTTCATTTTATTAAAAAGGTGAAACATGGGGCTGGAGAGCTCTTTCTGCTCTTCCAGGGAACCAGTGTTAGGTTCACAACCACCTGTAACTCCAGCTCTAGGGGATCCTCCTTTATACATGTGACATACAATTCTCATATACAACACATACACCATGAATATATATCTGCATGGTAGTAGAGACTAGACACAGAAATATGACCATTAAGAAGTAAGTCATGATGCTGACAAGTTAATTAAAATATAGACAATGAGAACATGTTTGTGTAGAGAGAACTACAACCAGGTGAAAAAAGGCTTGGCAAAGTGTGGTTGGTAAAGGTGATGCTGGTGTCAAGTTGTAAGGGACTCTTGTGTGTCATAGAGTTTAAATATAGACAGTAAGGACTGTAACCTGAGTTTTAAAGTAGAAACAAGTGATGGAATCCTTTTTTCTCAGCTTATTTTTAGGTGTAGTCATCTATTATACATCATCTGGTTTTTCTTTACAATGCTAGGGACTGAGCCTAGAGCCTTGCATATGCTAGCCAAACACATTACTAATGAGCTATGTATCTCTAGCCTATTATTTAATAAATGTTTATTATACCTACCTGGTTCCTGAACCCCAGAATAAATGGTTGGATAGAATCTCTAGTATCATATATTTCAGCTATCAGGAACTTTGGCATTTAACTGTTGGAAAGGCGCTGGAAATCAGCTTCTACAAACTCAATAAATTATCTACTTGTTTTTCCTAGTTCATAATCATTGTCCTTTGAGACAAGGTTTTGTCTCAAACCTTGAGAGCTCTCCACGGTTTTCTGTTGTGTAACTAATCGCTATAAACTTACCAGCTTTAAACCATTATTTCAGTTTCTATGGAACACAAGTTTGGTTTGGCATGGCTGGTATCATGCAGGATGCTGACTGGCTATTAATGCTAAATACCCACTTATCTTACTATGTAGTCCTCTTAACATGAGTTACTTTTAAGGTCACCAAGAGAATGTCTCCATTGCTTAAAACTCTGACTTACTTCATCTCTAATAGGCCAGATTTAAAGAATTTCTATGCTAAGATTATCCAAGCGAACAATCTCCCTTATGATTAGCCTCAAATAAGCTTATATATGACTGTAATGACATTTACAAAAATAACTTTGGCCAAATAACAGAATCTCAGCAGTCATGTAGCTACATGTGTCCTCCATAGTTCAGGTGGATCTTTTTAAATTACAGTCTTATTAAAATATAAAAGAAACCAAAAGTTATATAGTGTACAAGGATGTCTGTGTATGAATACCATTCTTGCTTTAGGCATCCCCAATAGAGAAAAGTGCTTGCTTATTCTTTCCCAGCCCTGTGCCCTTCTCTTCAACTTAAGGTACAGCTCAAATCCTAGTGTACAAAGATGTCACGTTTCTTGCCACCTCTGAATGTAGCACTAATGACATACCACACTACTTTGTGATAGTATTTTCTACATTTTGAATGTAAAACTCTTGATTAATTTCTGCAAAGGTTCGTAGGTCTAGTCTAGTGAGACAGAATACAGTCAAACTTGGAAAAGGAAATACAATACAGGTAGTCAGCAAACAAGTACCCAACACAGGTTTTTCAAGGATGTTCAGGTCTCTGTCTCCAACTTAGGTTCTTAAGTACTAGAAAGTTGGATTGGGAAAAGCTGGGTTGACCAAGGCCATCCAAGGGGTCTGTCCTAAAATTCTTTGCTCATTTTATCTATTAGCAGCTAAAAATGGAGGAATTTCTTATGCTAACACTTTTTTATCTTCTTGAGTATTTCTGTATTTAGGTTTTGTATTTGTATTTAGGTTGTATTTAGGTTTTCCCAATTCCTCCCAAAAAGTAGCTTTCCCATTTGGAGTAGAACAATTACTAATCCAAACCTAAGTGTGCTATTTTCTACTCTTTACTGTAATAAATTGTATGATGCAAGCACTTTAAAGGGAGAACTTATTCTGTTTCCCAGTTGCAGAGTTTTCAGCTCATGGCTGGATGGTGGTGAGGAAGAGGATCATGGCTTGTAGTAGAGCTAGTAACAGAAAGCTGAGAAGCAAATGAAGATACAGGTGGCTAGGGACAAGATTTTCTCCATGTTCCACAATCATTTGGTTGACTAAGCCATCTATTGGGCTGGTGCTCTAATGATTCAATCACTTACCTGAAGCCCATCCCTGAATACTAGAGACAAAGCCTCAATGCATGAACCTTGGAGGCACTTTTTTGACAGAATGGAATCTTTTCCAGAAGACTTATTAAAATTTACTTATAAAAATATATCCAAAACAGATAGCTTTCAAGACTGACCTTGAAAACAGAGCATTTTCATTTTTATATTTAAGATCTAACAGTTTGCCATATGAGAAGCAATCAATAAATATGCTACGATCCAAGAATCAAGAATCCTAAGTTATAATTATAACACATTACGACACAAAACAAAATTACAAAAGGAAATTTATTTCAAAAGCATAAGGGAACATTTACATTTAAACAAGGGGATAAACAGGTGTCCTTGCAGAAGAAAAAGATTCATGGCATGAAGATTTTCTTTAAAATTTCTGAAGCAAAAAGAACACTAAGTTATGAACTACTGACTAGGCAAGGGAAAGGAAGCAGGATGAGGAGGGGATGTATGCAGTGAGCTCTGCAGTAGACATGAGGTCAAGTTACTTCTGCTGAGTTTACAAATACCCTCAGACAGGAGAGGAAAAGTTACCGTGTTCAAATTTATATTGCTATAGTCCAATTCATTTTTGTACTTGAAATGGCTTTATAACTAGATGGTTACAGTATTCAACTGGCAATCCCATCTTCCTATGTCTGTTCAGATTCCAGGGAGCCTCGGTTCAGCTCAGTCTTGTGGAATGTTCAGAGTTTATTGCCAGCACTCCATAGTCAAGCTGACCAACTTCTTGTGCTCACTTGTATCATTCTAGACTTTCAGAAATATTTTCGCCATAAATACGTGCAGTGGTTCTCACAAAGGAGATTGTTTTTGTTTTTCCCAGTGTAGAAGTGATGGTAATGAAGACACCTGTGTAGGAATCAAAGCCTCAAAAAAAACCCCCCAAACAAACAAACAAACAAACAAAAAAACAAAACAAACCACTAGAAATGTCATCTGAGTATCTGATTTGAATAGCAAACTTGGAGAAGGAAGATTAACTGTGGAACAAAAATGTATGAAACATTCAAATGAAGAACAGAGTCTGGGCTACTAAAAAATGCCCAACATGAGACACTCCACAAACCTCCCACCTGTTGTCTTAATCTAAAGACTATTGGCTAACTTATACAATAATCTGATTAATAACCTGAGAAGTTAAATTTCAAAAGTGGCAAAAGCAAGCTGAGTGAGCAACTCTTATGGTACTATGTCATCAAGTCACTTTCCTGGGTAGCCCTGGTTATTAAGTCTCCAAATCCTAAATTATACTATCACATCCTGTCGGAACCTGTATGTACACCAGATCTGGCTGTATCTCACCAACAAGGGTCTTTAAATTTGTCTCTGAAAAAACAGCCTTTGTTTTTAGTTTTAAACAATAATAATCATGTAAGTTCAACTGACTGAACTTCCTCCCTACTGGAGTAAAAACCTAGATACCAAGTCAGTTATGGATTCAGCCTCAAAAGGGATAATCACTATGTCAGATGACCCATTCTGAGAATTTAAAGTATTGATTTGTTGTACACTCATGTTCCATAGCATGCATATATACACACACAACATATGCTTATGTCTGTACGTATATTATGCACATGTACTCCTAGTCAAATATGAAGACCCTGTGTTCAAAGCTGTATCCCAAAATATGGAGAAAAGTAAAGGAAGCAATACAAAGCAACTTTTTTCCTAAAAGGCTGACGTCTTGTACATCATGAGAAGCTGCTGTTTAGTTTCTTTGACTTGGCAGGAATGCTACAACACTGCCTAGCAGCTCCATTAGAAAACAATGGAAGCAAAAGGTTAAGACTGATCATTACTCTTCTTCTCCATGTATTGGGCAAAAAACTGTAACAGAAGGGGGGAAATAAGTAACGTTTCAAAGTGATGATCTTTACCAGGTCACAAGCTAGACTGAATTTTCCATTACAGTCAGTTCTCAATAACAGATTATCAAGATGTGTAAAAACAAGATTCACAAGATGAAGTCTGGATAATGAGGATATTGTGAAGACAAGTCAAGGCTGCAGACAAAGCATCCAAAAATATTGTTGTGGTTTTACCTTGGACACAACCATGGTCTTTTACAAAAGTAGATCATACATACAAAGGTAGAAAGAACATTACGTTTTCAGCTGAAGGCAGCAGTCCTTTTAAAGGGATATCCCCGGCAATCCAATGAGTAGTAGATTTAAGTATATTAATTTGATGTCACAATCAGTAGAGTCTTCCTCGACTACGATTTCCTCGTGTTCCCCAACCTCGGCCACCTCTACTTCCCCTGAAGGCTCCTCTCTGCTCTACGAAAAAGCGAACAGTGGTTTAGGTCTTGCTCAGTACACCATAGTTCAGCGAATAGAAGAATAAAGCTTGTAGTTCTGAAAATAGCAGCAGAGTTTATAAAAGCTACAGTGGCATTCTATCTAGCTTCTCAAAGGAATCCAAACAACAAAATTTCAGTTTTAATACAAAGGCCAGAGCTGTTGTGTTCAATTGTAAAACACTACAAAAGTATTATTATAGTCTGTCATCTCTCTATTTTGATTATTTATTTTTCATCTTCACTCAGTGCAGCTACGGCTAACATACAGGAATCCACCCAAGTTTCTTATTTTTGGTGAGCTCTATCCTAAAGGACAATCAGCATTTTAATGACCAATGGTTTCAAGTTTACCTTAACTTTTAATTTTTTTTTTTTTTTAAATTTGTGTGTTTGAACATGGAGGCAAATACTGTAAGCTCCATTCCTAACTGCTGGAAAAAAGCTACTAACTCAAATGTGTTTCAGGACTGTACTTATAACCTAGAAAAGACTAAAGAAAAAGGACAGCAGGAACAAACCGTAGAAACGTCTAGTACTCCTGGCCTATTGAGGAATTCTGTGAGTATCTATCTACAACTAATGTGATGGAACACCTTCCAGGCAAGTGACCTCATCTGTGGGAACCAAATACCACACCTGGATAAGAAAAACTATCACTTGACACTGATCAGTAATATCATAAAGCCGGACAGAGAAATGGTTTCAACTGAATGGGAAACTCGAAGTCAAGAAAACTCTTTAGAAAATGTGTCCTTAATTCCTACACCAAAGGGGTTTCATCTACTTTGCACACCATTTTGCCTTTTAATCATAATAAAGATTTCCAAGTAGCTCAAACTGTGACTCTAATTCTTTTTGTTAAGAAAAACTGCCTATTTTTAAAAAAATGTTAGAAATTAATTCTATTTATTTATTTACTGTTTGTTTTTGGAGACAGGGCTTCTTTATTATGTAGTTCTGGCTGTTACAGAACTTGCTATGTAGACCAGGCTGGCCTTGAACTTAGAGATATGCCTGTCCCTGCCTCTCAAATGCTGAGATTAAAGGTGCACACCACTATACCTATTCCCCCTCTTCATATTTTTAATAAAACTATCTCAACATATATTTACTTGTGACTCATTTTTTTTGCAGGTTTTAAAATTAAAATATAATCACATCCCTAGTTTATTGGCATACAAGCTACGTGTTACATTTTCTGCACTTCTTCTCCACTTTATATCAAGCTGTGGGTTCTGAGACAAAAATCTTTATTGGAAACTCATAGTAACCATGTAACTACTCAAGTGAAGAAAAATACATTTCTTGTGCTGTGCAAAAGTTCATGATTACTTTCATTCATGCTATTTCCTCACAGCATCTAACTGCTGATTTTCAGATTGGTACAGATATCACATTAAGTCAAAAAATATCAGAAGACAGTATTTGATGTTATAAAACAACAAAGACTTCTTTTCATTTACCAAGAGCTCTCAAAAACATTCTTACCTGAAGTTTGTAAGAACTGTGCTACCCCTATTTTTCACATAAGAAGCAAACATGCATATGGACATGTATATGCAGTTAGATGAGTACCAAGATTTAGTGCACTCCTTAAAGAAGTCTGTAAGAGTTCATTTACATGGGGAGGGTCATTTCTCAGTCTAAAACTGGCTTTTTCCAACCTGTCTGGTGAATAGGGATTTGACCACTGTCAAAGGTCAGAGGAATTCAGCCACCACAAGAGGATTTTACTTACTGTTACAATTTTCTCACTTTAGAAACAGAAATCTAGAGTATAAAGTAAAATATGGCCCAGAATGTACTTAGCATACAAAATTGTAGTATTAACTGTAATTAGCAATCAAGATAAATGGCATTCATGTTTCGTTGCTATTGTTATGATTGTTGCTAATACTGGTATCATTGAGACAGGGTCTCAAGTAGCCTAGGATGACCTATGAGTTGTAAAACACTACAAAAATATTATTAGTTTGTCATCTCTCTATTTTGAGCATTTATTTTTAGTTTTCACTCAAAGCAGCCACATGAATGAAGATGGCCTTGAATTCCTCCTGCCTCTGCCTCTCTGGAGTTAAGAGTTGCCAGCAGTAAGCTTCTCCTAAGCAAGAGAAGAGGTTAGGTGGACTGCTTCTGCCCCAGCTGATCCTTTTGGTCTTGTTACTTAGACCAGGCTTGCCTTGAGCTTTTGATCCTCCAAGACCTTACTCTCTTGAGTGCTGGGATTATAGGCACGTGTCATTATGCTTCACAATGTCCATTCCTTTAAAAATGATTCATATAGGGAAAAATAGTAAGAAACAGACTTCATTACTGACTCTAGAGCCTTCACAGAGAATGGACAGGTGGGAAGAAAGTTCTCCTAACCAAGGAGGAAGACTGCATTTGAGCAAAGATAGACTACAGTTTCTTCCAAGGCACACAATGTTCAACCATCTGACTCCATTTATGACTTCTTTCAGCTAGCCTCAGAAGACCTGAGTATTTTCAGCAACAGGCTCACAACTCTGAGACCCTCCACACCACATCTGCCAGAGCTATGCCTTTCCTTTCTTGAAAAGTTTACACAATAGTTCATGATAACTTCTTGTTTCTGTGGGTTCCTCTTAATACAGCTGGCATATTTTCTTTTTCAAGTGCTTAGGTATCACACATTCAGTGAGTGCACAAGAGTTATACAGAAATGGAATATAATTATTTCTCCAGTGGTCCTCTTTTGCAGGTTAACTCAGATAAGCCACCTAAGAGAACTATGATACTATATATATAATTCACAGTTAAAAGCACGTACCACTTTCTATCTAATCTCTTGAACTGCTTGTACCCAAACGAAAACGCTCACCATAATTAAAGTTGCCCAAATTGCTGCTGTATTTTCCACTAGGAGGATTATAAATCTGTCTGGCATCCCTTTTTGGTCCTCCTGGAGATTTCTTAGGTGGTGAACCTGAACTTGTATCTTCACTGGTTCTCTTTTGTCTGTAACAACAGGAAAAGCTACAGTTACAAAGCACTGTATTATGCCAAAAGTTACAATAATTCTAAATTAGCCTGTGAGCTGTAAAAGATCTGTGAAAAAGGATGGTCACACATCAGAAAATAAGTAAAGATCCATGCCATCATAGTAACTGTTGGGTTAGTTATACAAGGCTTAACAGTACTTGATATGTGTGGTTTCAAAGACATATGCTCTCCTCACTGTACGAAGCTGCCAACAAAGTCTAGTGATGTGACAGGAATACAAACACACCCAAGCCCTCCAGGGTTGTACCCACCACTCTGTTTTGAAAGGCTCTGGAATGACTTGGTACTGTAAATCCTCTTTCTAACAGTCATACTTTAACAGTTTCTTGAGAATCAGTTAACTAACAATTGTGCTGTCTTGTAAAATTAAAATCAGCAACTGAACTTAGGATTTGACTCTTGAATCCCTTTAAAATCCATTTCTTACCCAATCTCAACTTTCTGTACAGGTTTCCAGGACAATGTTACTGTGCTCTTATAAGAAGGAGGAATGTGGAAGAGATCCTGGAGAGATAAAAACCAAAATTAGCCAAGACCTGTAATGGATGTGCTGATTAAAGTAGTAGGCGAGGAAAAGAGGCAAGAAGACACATCTTAGACTGGTTTTGTGCAAGACACTGGGTTCAAAGAAAATGTGTTAGGAGGACAAGCTTTTATTTCTTGTGCTTCCAGCTAAACAGAGACCCAAAGAAAGCTACCTAAGAAACTGGAGACAATTTTGTTGTACAAGACACCAATTCCTCCACTAACACTGTTTTGTATGTGATTTAAACCTTGGCTATTTTTTCCCTTTAAAATAGCCTCAAAGTTTAGGATGAGACATTAGTATTTACCAATTTCAATGAACAAAAACCAACCAAGAAAGCTTTCCTCTAGTACTAGGGTGCTTCAACTGAAGGAAAACATTTATTACTCTGTGTTCATACACATGTGTGTATGTGTGTGGCAGTCAGAGGCTGGTGCCAGGTGTCTTCCTGAGTCCTCTTTCACTTAGTTTTTGAGACAGGATCTTTGACTGAACCTGGGGCTCAGAGACTATTAGACTAATTGGACAGTGAGTTCCAAGGGTCTTCATGTCTCTGACTCCCCAGTACTAGTAGTATAGGCATGTACCACTCTGCCTGGCTCTTTACACAGGTGCTGATCTAACTCAGGTAATAAATGTTAGCAGATATTTATTATAAAGCTTTCATTAGGAGTTGTAAATTAAATAGTTTTTTGAATAGTTTTTTGGGTGGTTTCACTTTGTTGACTAACCTGTCTTGGAACTTATGGTGGTTCTGCTACCTCTTGAGTGGTAGAATTACAAAGCAAAGCAGACATGCACTGACTTCTGCTTTGAATGCCTTTTTACTTTTTGGCAAGATGACAATCATTGTTCATGTCTATTGACACTATCACTGTCTCTGCAATGATTTCTTCTTTTTGATAAAAAGCACTTTCCCTATAGCATTTCTACTACATTAGCTGAAGGCATACTTGTCCTTATTTCCAGGCTTTATGCTCTGGGTGTTACAAACACACTAGTAGATATTTAGGAAAAAAAAGAAGAGGAGGACAACTTTAACTTAAAGGCAAGGTGTCATTAGCCTGCACTACACAAAACTCTGAGTGTATTACACAAATAAGCTTACAAAAAATGTCGCAGAAAAAACATTTCATCTATTACATATGACCTGCCCATTATTACAAAAGGCAATGGAGGGTTACACTGACCATTCAAAAAGACCCAATAACATTAAGACCACCAGAACTGGGGGGGCTGCAGAGATGGCTCACTGGTTAAAGTGTTGTCTGCTCTTCCAGAGTTCAATTCCTAGCACTTACATGGCAGCTCACAACCGTGTGTAACTACAGTTCTAGGGGATTTGACACTCTCACACAGATACACGCAGGAAAAACACCCATTTCATCCTTTTCCATTCAGGTTAGCTTCAGAAGTGTCAGTACTACACAAAACTATAAAGCTTGAAAAGAGCAAATATTAGGAAGGAAATGACATCTCCCCATTGCAGACAGATGGAAAACCTCTTGTACAGACTCTAGCTAGCTGACAGTATAGGAAAAAAAAGGACTCACCTTGATTAAAACATTGATATTGTTTGTTATTTTCAAAGCAACAACTTTTATCTTGTTCTGTAAAGGGAAGACAAAATTAAAATTTAGTAATTTCTGTGAGCACATACCATTCTGCATGGAAACAAATTCATATCTCTAGGTAGAAATTTAAATTTCTAAGTAGAGGTTTAAATCTCTATATATTTTTCCTATTTCTCTACCCTATGCAAATCAACCATGCTTCATTGACAAGCTGAATTGCAATTTACCTGAAAAATACAGCATGGAGTTATATAAGAATTGTTTAAAAGGAAACCAGCATGAACTACAGGAATTAGTAATGAAAAGTGAAAAGATTCCATCAAGAGTGGTTTTATTATAAACATCAAGGGGAACCAAATCCCAACACAGAGTCACTGGGACTGACAACTTCTGTGTCATCCATCAGTCAGCATTCTTACCTCCTCAGTTTTTAAGGCCTCGCCTGTTTTACCCTGGAGAGCCAATCGAAGTTGTCTGATATAAACCTGAAGGCCCCGTGCAAAATACTGCAACCTAAATGACAAAGTATTTAATCAGTAATTTATCACTTCAATTTTATTCTTAAATAATCTTCTACTGTGGCAAAACAATGCACAGGGCAGAAAATGGCTACAGGGACAACAAAAGAGTACTTTCTTATGTTATTAGTTTCTGATCTAGTATTTTAGCTCTTATGTTATTAGTTTCTGATCTAGTATTTTAGCAAACATTTGCTGCTGAGATAGACTTGTTATGCTGTCCAGATGGTCAAGTGACTTTTCTACCTCAGTTTCCTAATTGGCTACTACAGAGTGTGTAAAGCCATGCTGCCTGACTGATCATATAGCAAACAACTCCCAGTCGGAAAGTAGAGGGTAGTAGCAGGTAGCCAAGTATGGTTCAAGCACTGCACATTTGTTCATGGAATGATTGTATGCAAAGTATTCCTATAAAAACAAACCACTAACTTGTCTAGTGTTGTTCCTCCCCCAACCCTGTTGAATATTATCAACAACTGTGGATATAGGTACTCAATACCTACTAGGTGCTGAGCATTGCACAAGCTTATTCATAGCCCTACTGTCATTCGAATTTAACAGATGAGAAAAATCTGAGGAGTTAAGCAGCTGGGGACATGCCCAAGGTCATAGGTCAAGAGAGAAGAATCAAAAGTTCATTTGTTTTAAAGTTGATTTCCCACCAGGGACCTGTACTGCCACATCTGTGAAATGTTTACAAACTTGTCTTTTAAACTTTCATCCAAAATAAGGAAGAATGGGAAGAATCAGATCTTATAAAACAAGATAAAAACCCAGAGAGCTTAAAGATTTTCCATCTTTGTTAAGGACTAAGCCACTTCCGTCATGTACTACCTAATTTTGAAATCCTTGAGCTTTTCTGCATTCAGTTTGGCTGTTAAGAAGTCTGGAAGTTTTCTGCCCAACTGGTGAAAACTGTACAATAAGCACTCCACATAACTGAACTGTAGCTTGGGCTCTTCATTCCCAGCGTTCTCTCCATTTTCTGCTTCTTCTGGAGGGAGAGGCATATACTCCTAAGAGAGGAGAGAGCAGATGTTTGCAGTCTGTTCTAAAGACATTTGCTATATAGAGATACCTATGTAATCCTAAAGCACGATTTTAAGACCTAGTACACTAAAAACAAACTAGAAACTGAGCTAAGACCTATTAGACCAAAGCTCTGGCACATCAGCCATCATTGTGAACCTATGTTACAGCTGTTACCACTAATATCGAAAGTGGAAACAGCTAACAGTAGGCAGTAGGCACCAAAGTTCAATGTACACCAAGACTACATTCTTAATGAATTAAAAACAGAAACACTTCCTAAAGTCCATATTGTTTTAAGTTTGCACTCTTTACACTCAAAGTGTGACAAAGGCGGTCAATGTCAGCCTTACAATGCCCAACAGACATTGCAAATCTAGAAGCAGCAAATGCTGAATGACTCCTTATATGCCAAGGGCCTGAGGCTTATCTCTGGCCATTTAAATAACTGCTCACAACAAGCAGGAGAGTCACTCCGTGACACTGATAATGATTTTTATCAGATGGTCTATTTTCTCCACAATTACAATTTAAACAACAGATTATTTCCTGGTTGCTACAGCTACTTGGCCTTAGGCAAGTAGCTAGTTGATGGCCTGGAACAAATGACTTTTGCAATGCCAACTACAGTTTTTAGACTATTTAGCACAATCAGAAGAGTTAGTGATACCTTCTTTTTCACAGACAGAATGTCACTTTGATTTGGGAGGAAGGGGATAATCTAGTCTCTAAATCATGGGTGATCTTTAGGCAAAGAATCAGCAGCTTGGAAATGCTAAGATCCAATGAGACTTCCTTACAAAAGAGGAAACAAAAGGCCTGAGTACTCAACTAGAATTAATATTCAAGGCAAAATTCAAGCTAGTTTTCACTTTCTAGAAGTTGATAAAACATTAGACTTTAAAGCTATAAACTGACCATATCACAAGGAAAGAAGAAAGTTCTTACCAATAATTTATCAAACAATTTTCTTAAATTTGTTTCTAGTTTCTCCATGTCACCACAAAATGAACTCATCTCTGCCAACAACTTTAATACCTGAAACACACAAATTTGCTCTTAGAACTATTTTTAAATGAGCAAGTGCTATGAATAAGAGGAATTCAATAAACCTTTAAAAGACTGAGCTTGTTTTCAATTATGTTCCTCAGAATCATGTTAGAACTGAATAAAAAATACTGAGAGAAAAAATCTTACAATTAAACATTAAAGAAAGTGAAGGCCCTTAGAACAGTCATAGGGTGCATATCTTAGCAAATCCAGGAATCCTAATTCCCAATACATCTGTAAGAAGCAAGGAAAAGAATGACCATGACTCCTTCTACTATAGGTTCATACTGACAGTTAGGTACAATGAAAAAAAAAAAAAACACAATAAATACATGAATCCTCCAATCACCATTCAGAATCTGCAACAGCAACCACTCCAATTTACGGTAGGTTCTTGCTACTGAGGTTATTAGACTCTAGTTACTATATGAAAATATTAGTAACTGCCAATATCTGGTATGTTCATCCTGCTTCTTCCAATCTCAGACTGACCAGCTTAGCGTAGGACATTGATGCACACTACTGTGCGGTATATACCCAGATTCCCTATTCTAGAAGTAGCTGAAGGAAATGGTATATGCATTTCCAGGTTTTCGGTCAATTCCCTACCATCAAGAGAGAGAGTGGTGCTGTGCCATATGGTGTGTGATTCAGGACTGAGTAAGGTCAAACACTGGAGGAGGAGAGTGAGTGCAAATACCCAAAAGATCCCATGACAACTGTCTGCTACAGCTGAGAGCCAAAGCAGGAGGGTATTCACTCCACTGGAGGACGGGGTAAAGGCTATGTGGTGTTAAGCTAGTTAATTTTTAATGCTTGTAAATCTGTGTGTATAGACACGTGCCTGCACATGTGGAGGTCATACAACAACTTGGAGGAGTCCATTCCCTCCTTCTAGAATGTAGTTTCTGGGGACAAAATTTCGGTCATCAGGCTTGGCGGCAAACACCTTTACCTGCTTGAACCATCCTACTGGCCTACTCTAGTTTAAATCTGTATGAAAACTTGTCATGAATTAAGTTCCTTATTTGAAAGTATTTAGGCTTTAAAGGTATAAACTTCATACAATGTCATTTACACACAGTGCTGCCCTATCACAGCAGCTATAATGGAATCCATAAGTCATCTCTATGTGATTAATTATGGCCTAGGAGATTACTGGCTAGCCACTGTAGACATTTCACTTATACTCCTGGAAATCAGATCTAAGTCAGTGATTTGCATTTCTCCTAAAAAATGGGAATAGCTTTGTGGTGCTTTTTAAAGCAGGAATGTTCTCTTACCTCTAACTGTATATCAAGACCTTCCACTGGGGTAGTTAGGGTACTGAGATTAGGGAGAACCTGCTCACAGAAATATGTCACAAATCTTGTAGAATGGACGTTTTTCTGTAAAAAAAGAATGCAAGAAATTAAAGTTATAAAACAAGTCTCTTTTCAAAGATTAATAGCAAATTGCCATTGAAAAGCAAGAACTTAGTATCCCAACATCATGTGGCCTTCCTTGCAAGGTCATTTGGAACACCTGAACATTGACAGATCTTGAATGTCCTTTTTGACTCTCAAGTTAAATTTAGTGACATATTAGTGCTGGATTTATTTACACACTGCACATTTCCCCACAAGGACACATCCTTCATATTTTTCAAACTAGGGCATATCTATCTCAGAAAACTCATGTAGGGCAAACAAAATTGGAGACAGAATGCAAGTTCTTATAATTTTTAGAAAGTTTCTAAGCAAGCCCCCAGAGAAATTTCTTGCTTCTTTGGGTTCTTACAATGCCTGTCTGCTTTCCATTGCCCCACTATGCTAAGAATGCTTTTATGGGAAGGTCTGAGGAGTATTCAAGTGAATACAGGCAGATTGAAGAGTAACCCAAGTATCATCAACATGGAACAAAGAGCTCACAGAGAACAGAGGCACAGCCTGCCGTGTGCACTGCAGTAGCCTGTCCACACAGTCAGGGTCTGAGGGGCTAAAGGTCTGCTCCAGGTCAGCCTGTTCTGCCACCAGCTCTACCAGCTGCTGTCTTCCACTCACTGTCTGTAAGCTTTTTAACCCAGACAGTATCTTCATGAACAAAACAAACTCTTCACCAGTCACATCTTCTAGGACCTGGAAAAAGACAATTCACTTGAATGAGAGGTAGAGATCAACATCCAAAGTAGCATTACTTCCATTACATACTAATGTTTCTGTTTGCCGAAGTTCAGAGAAAAGGAAAGCTGTATTCACTAAGAGGACCAAAGTTATTTAAAAAAAAATCTTGATGTAAAAAAAAATTTGATATACAAGGCATTGCTAACACGCACAGCAACAGATTTACAGTGAATCTATAGATTAAAATTTGACAGAATGAGTGAATAAGATACATAAAATGGCTCTTGGAGGGGATGGGGAATGATAGAAGTGATTGGAAAATTCTGTAGCCAACTGATAAGGCGGTAACCTCCTACAACTAAGTAGCCTTGCTCACGTCATATCAAAACTGTCCACAGGCTACCACCTAAGTGACATTCGTATTGTATCGGAGGGCCCATAGTTATGCTCACTGACTAAAGCTAACAATTATGACCCTTTCTACTCAGATGACTATAGAGGACATGGCAGGTAAGAACATTCCCACCTTCTCAGCAGGACAGTCTTTCCAGTGAATGGTGTCATGAGAGAAGAGACTGAATTTTCTTTAAAAGAAAATTATTCCCTAATTTGGCAATTTAAAAGTGAGTGAAGAATCAATTTTGATATCCCTTGGCAATTTTAGCCTTTCTAACTATGCTAGATGCTTAGAGCAGACAAATAAGCATGGTGTAATGGTTAATGACGTAAGAGACAAAATCCTGGGCATGTCTGTGAAGGCTTATGTAGAGGTTAGTGCTGTGGGTGGTTCCATTCCACAGACAACTAGCGAAGTATAAACATTTATTTCCCTGATTCTTGACTGTAGATGCAATGTCACCAGCTGCTTCAAGCTCCTATCACTGTGACAGATGACGAACTGCCTGCAACTGCAAACCTTTTTTTTCTCCTCAAGTTGCTTTTGTCTAGTATTTTGCCACAGAGAGGAGGTAAGCAAAGCAGGTAATACATATGCTCTCATACTCTTGGGAAGGGTTTACAGGCAATGAAAAAACCTTATTATTTCCATTTCTTTCATTATGCTATTTCATTTTAAAATGCTCTAGAATACTTTAAGCATCTCTAGATGAAAAAGAAGGAGCAGTTAGGATAGTAACATAAAGGGTTTCAGTATGATTAAACCCTTTACATCAGCATGGGTCATGAGGGGAAGAGTGGTAAATATTTGTGGTAAATCCTTCTGCAGAGGGATCTGTCACTTCTGCATGAACCATACCCAGAAAGGATAACTACTAATGGACCTCAAGGTAACTGTAACAGACCTTTTTGGATTCCGTGAGGATGAGCTCCTCGACTTCTTTAGTTAACACTTCATCTGGGAGTGTCTTGAGTTTCGTGGACAGGAATTTAATTGCTCGTTCTCTAACAATGTCTTCTCCTTGAAGAATCTGGCTAAACAAGCCACCTAATGTTCCTGTAAGGCAGAAAAGCAACTGTATATATAGTGTGAAGTGTTCACATTAACTTTATCATTGTTCAAACAAATAAACACTGAATACCACCAATGCTAGCAAAGGCAGTCTGAAATGTTCACAGCCCAATGCTGAAAGGCCATATGCTTTGCTCTCAGGGCATCAGCTTGAGCATGACTAACCTTTTTCATTCTAAGTAACAAACTCAGGTATTTTGGAATAATTTCTTTAAAGATACAAAAGAAACTTTCCAATACATTTCTAGGGGAAATTTGAACTGTTTTGTTTGTTTTTAAACAATTATTTCTATTGGAAAGTCACAAACATCTAAGTTGGGAGGCCGTTTTTCAGAATAGGTCATCACTTTTATGAAAGAGACTTCTTAGCAAAGGCCAAGCTCCCTGGTTTCCTAAGGCTGTGAGCATGATTTAGAAAACTGCCCTTACCTTTTGCATCCATCTTGAATATACTTAACAGAGCATTGTTTACCAAATTAAATTCTGCAGAGTCATCTGGGGAGAAAAACAATAGCACAATGAGTAAGGAATAAATGTAAAATACCCCAGCTGCTGCATTGTCAAAGTTAAGATTCAACAGTTTTACCAAGCAACCTCTACCTAAGCATAACTCTCGGAGGACACACTGCTCCCCTTTACAAGGACAGAGAACATTCCTGGCCATGACTATGAGCCTTGTATGTTAAGACTGCACAAGTGTTTCACCATAGGAAAGAGGTAAAATGAAGACTGTTACAAGTCTGAAGAGAAGCTCACCATTATGCCTTTATGAATAGAATTAAAAACAAAACAAGTATCACAGACCCAGAAGTCAGTGAGTTTCACATACTGAATAAAAGAAGTTCAACGTCACTGCCAGAGACAGGACTTCCATGCCCACCACCCGAGCAAAACAAAGCCAAGCAGAGTCAATATTAGCCAAGCAGAGTCAATATTCCAGAGAATATTTACAGTAAAAGGCAACAAAAGAACCTCTCACCTGTCTGCAGAAGCTGGGTCAGTATATCTGCTACTCTTGGAAGGTTTTCTCCTGTGGCAAACTGAGGCAGCTCTTTAATTGCTTGGCGTCGTATCTGGGCATGATTTCAAACAGACAAAAACATAACTAAAATGGTGGCATAAAAAACCAATGACAAACTCAGCTTTTAGGACAACTAAAACCAGAAAGAAACCATTTTAAGAGATACATGAATTATAAAGTACGTTGTAATAATTAAAAGGTATTTTAATTATTGTTCATGTGTGTGAATGATGGAAAAGGGAGGCAGGTATACACGACATATTGTGCAGGTGGAGGTCAGAACACACCTCAATGAACCTGGCTCATTTGTTCCACCTTTACATGGGTTCTGTGGACTGAAATCAGGTTGTTAGGCTTAGGTGGAAAGTATCATTACCTGCTCAGCCACCTCACCAGCCACAAAGAGTTTATTATTTAAAGATTTTTTTCTTTAATCTCTCCTCCGGTCTGTCTGTGTTTGCACTATCTATGTGCTGCTGCCCAGAGAAGACAGGACAGAAGAAGGCACTGGATCCACAGGAACTAAAGTTAAAGGCCATTGTGAGTGCCCATGGGAGCTGGGACAGCAGCTTCTCTAGAGGAGCAATAGTGCTCTTAATTGCTGAGCTATCTCTCCTGCCACAAAGAAGAGATTTGTAACAGTTTTCAAAACAATTTGTTCCCCCTATTTGTTTCTGAGACAAGGGATTGCTGTGTTGATGAGACTGGCCATAAACTTCTTGGATCAAGTGATCCTTGTCTTAGCCTCCTGAAGAGCTGGAGTACAGCTATGTCCCAGTGCTCAGTTCACTACTCAGCTTTCACAGAATTCATAAGACAAAGGAAGCTGAAAGGGACAGTAAGTACAGGACTGGAGCAGAGAGATGAGCAATTACAAACATGTTTGTATGTAACGTCTATGCAACTGCTGAGCTATGACTTTTAGGCATGTTAATACATTGTTCCTTTAGAACATCATCCATGGCAGGCCTTAACCAGGAATTATTTTAGAATCTTCCATATTGACTACTTAAATTTGAATGAAAAAGACTACGATTTACTAGCTCTTATATTAAAAATGACACAGAGTTCCCATCTAGCAAACTGCATGAGATGCTAGGGAAGCACTCATTTCCTATGGAGAGTTAAGAGCTAATAGCTGAAAAAAACCTTAGAAGCCTGCACAAGTATCTAAAATGCCAAATGTTAATTCTGCTCCACAGGGAAAAGATTTATTCTTAGTCTGGTAATCAGTTACAGGTATTACAGTGATCAACTATTTTTATGACATATATAATTTGTAGGTACAAAAACTGCATTAACAATCTAATTTCATGTTAACTATGAACAAGCTAAGAAAAGATGTGGGCATTTTCAGCAGTGGATAATGAAAAAACAAAACAAAAAATGTGTTATTCCATATATTTTTCATAAATACAAGGTAATAAAGTTAGTGTTTCCTCAGCTGTAACATTCACTCTGGGTCTGATACAATGTGACTGTACTATGACAGCAGACTATAGACTGATATAATTGCTATTTTGAGTATATTACTTTTACATAGATAATAGCTTACTCAAGTGTCAATCATAAACTTACTGACACATCTTCATCCTCACAGAGGTCTAACTGTGCATTGATAGCAGAATCAGCCAGCTCTGGAAAATGCTTAAAGAATTTTGGTATAAACTGAGCCGCTAATCGCTTTTCCTTGGTGCCGGCTTTCACACCATCCAGTATCACTTGATAGGCATCTTTATGCTGGAAAGAAGAGGAAAAGGAACAATACTGAAGGACTAGAAAATAAGGGGAGACTTACCACACATGCACAAATGCTTCAGATGTTTACAAACACTAGTTTTACTACTTAACTTGGTTACAATCTTTTTACTCTATTTGTCTATTCCCTATTGCCCATTCCATTTTATTATCAACTGGGAGAGAGAAATATGACCCTAATTTTAAGTCCAGGTCTTGAGTATGTCATGCTTTAAAAATGAAGATACTGCAGAATCCTCAAAGTTACATTACATTTACTTACAAAAAAGAAAAAGGTACCTGTGGCCAGGCAAAGCGGTACACACCTGTAATGCTAGCATTCCAGAGGCTGAGGCAGAAGGCAGCAAGTCTGAAGACAGCCTGAGTTGCACATGCAAGACCTTGTCTCCCACCCTGCCTCCCACCCACAGGAACCTGCTTCTAATTAGTATTTTGAGGAAGGTGAAATTTCTGAAATTAAATAATTCTAGGGAAGTTTAATTTCATCTTCTATTTTAGAATGTGAAAGCAGTAGCAATTTGTATAGCTAGCCAATTTTGGATTAAGACAAATTCTAATACTGTGCATGAGAATACACTAAAGCTCACTTGTTTCCATCAAATTCTTTAGCTCTCAAACAGGGTCTCAACAAGTTCCTAGTTCTCCTCACAAGCTACCTCCAAAGTGGATAGCTGATCATGTTGTCAACTAATGACAGAAATACAGAATAACTCAGTAAGAATGAACTCTAATCCAGAAGTCAATATTCCATCAAAGAACTAAGCAATGACTGCCAACACGTCACCTGATTACCACTTACACAATGCAAAAATCCAATGACATCATGTCAGCTCTTTGAAGAACTGTCTTCTATCACACTGGAAAGAGTTCTCTTTTTGGTGTTCCTAAAGTATACCAGTGATGCCGTGCGTTACAGTGTGATGATACTGCGTGTCTTCCTCTACATCTCTCTACTTTATCTCTTAGCTAGTTTTACTTAGGTATATGTGTACATCGTTGTATGTGTGTGTGCTATGTGTGGGGGGTGACTGCAGAGGTCAGAAGATGGCATGGGATCTCCTGGAGCTGAACTTGCAGCTGGTTGTGAGCTGCCAGACTGATGTGGGTGCTGGAACCAAAACCTGGGTCCTCTGCAAGAGCAATACGTGCTCTTAATTGCTAAGCTATCCACCTTTCCAGCCCTCTCTCCACATTACTTCTTGCTGATCCCAGGGCTCACACACTGGCTAGCCAGTGAGCTCAAAGGACCACCCGTCTCCACCTCCCCAAATGCTCAGGCTCAGGGTAAGACATAAGCCACCATGCTGTGCATGCTAGGGATCTGAACTCAGGGCCTTGTGTGGGTGGCACTTTACCAGTGCAGACATCTCTTGGGCCCTCTACTTGTCATTAATGTAGAAAATAAAAAAGAAGTAGTATCTTAAGCAATCAGTGACTTGGTGGTAGGTCGGACTGTCTTCAGCATAAAATATTACAAATAGTGCATAGCTCTGTCCATCCCTCTTCCAGCATGGCTGTTAGTTCCACCTGAGTTCAGGGTGTCTACATAGTGAATTTCAGACCAGCCAGTTACATGATGAGACACTGTCTCAAAACAATATCAGAAGCATTAACTACTTTGTGTGTAAATACTTTGTGTGTGTGGTGTCCATAGAGGCCGGAAGAGCAGATCCTCTAGAGTAACAGGACTGTTGTGAGCCATTATATGGGTGCCAGGAATTGAACCAGGGTCCTCTCTTGGCTAAGTGTTTTTAGCCCCTGAACCACCATTTTGATGCATTTCTAAAATCATGTTTTGGTATGTTTTCAATAATTAATAAAACACAACTCTAAATTATTTAAAGGTATTCCTTCAAGAAAAATATACGGGACAATCTGAGACATCTTCATCAATGTATTCTAAGAAACTGTGTATATGAGGGCATAGACCGGGTGATGTGGGAGTGGGGCACAGATAGGGAAGGGGAAGAGTGGGGGAGTTCAACCAAAACCAAGGATATACGAAAAAGCATAAGGGAGCCTGGGAAGTGGTAAGCTAACTTAAGAAACAGAGTTTGAACAGAGGTGTCTTCTGGACAGCTCCAAAAGATATAGATAATTAAATAAAAACCCAAGTGCCAGAGGTGGCCTCCTTCTCTATGCACTGTTGGTCAGGGAGGCCTCCTAAGGTTCCCCTAACACAAGGGATAATTGCCACTGTGGTTGGCTGCCCACCAGAACTAGGTGGTAAGACCTTACTGATGAGAAGACCACATGTTTTGGTTACAAGCCATAAAGAAATCATGGCTGAAAATAAGCTGGAAGCTTCCTTCCTGCTGGCCAGCCCTCAGAGTGTTGAAGAGTCAGCAGGATGTAGAGGGAGACCTGTCATCAGAAGTCACAGTTGTGAACTCTTGACACAGAAGGCAAGATATTCCCACTGGAGAAACAGTAGTGAGTCTGTTATGTATGTAACCAACTGCTTTCTGACCAGAATTGAGGCTGGCTCCATAGGAGGGAATTCACAGCTGGTACTGTGAACCTGGTTCACTGGTTCCCAGCCTATGGCTGGGAGGGTCATAAGGCCAAGTGGTATAGCTGGCATTTTGCTGAGTGGACATGTGTCCATCACATTTCTGCCTAAGTAATTATACTTACCTGCATAGGTTAGTGCTGCTGTCAGCACTGCTCAGAGAAGCTTCTGTTTACAGTGGAGAATAGCAACAGCAGAGACTCTTATGTGGTCAAATACTGTGAATAAGTGACTATTGAATACTCAACAGGGAGTATTGCATGGGAGGAGATACATTCTCCTCCTTAGGCTCAGGGAATATCACAGAAAGGAAGGCAGAAAGAACACAGTTCTAGAGGATGGAGTGAAGTGTTGAAACATTCGGCACAGCAACTGTCATGTGCACAAGACTGGCCCATCAATAGCCTAACACAGAATGGGAAGGGACTCATGAGGCCTTGCCTCTCCCTGAGGATCTGTAAGCATTTACTGGTTGCTAGAGGGAGGGAAAGCTGTTTTCCTTTGATGGTGAAGGCACTGGTAAGGTACTCATGCTCCTGTAAATAAGCATTCATCTATACTCTTGTGTAATCTAGATGAAACTCACTGGGTCACAAACACAACAAATTAAAACATGAAAGCAGAAGGACTAGTTGGATAAAAGAAGGGGTCAGGAGAGAGAGAGAGAGAGAGAGAGAGAGAGAGAGAGAGAGAGAGAGAGAGAGAGAGAACGAGAACAGGTATGATCAAAATATACTACACACATATATGAAAATGTCACACTGAAACTACTTCGTATAACTACTATGTGCTAAGAAACAAAATACGCTGCAGCAATGATGCTCAGGCAGCATGGATTATGTGGTTAAATGAAAGACAGGATTATAACATATTTTTGAGTAAGAAAAAAGATGAAGGGGCTGGGGTGCAGCTCAGTGGTGCCACCCTTGCCTGACATACAACAGGCACTGGGTTCCACACCTAGCAGCGCAAAATAACCTCAAATACAATAGAACCATGAAAGAAAAAAAATGTTTCAGCTAAACTATACTACGGCTTTGTCCTTGAGTTTGCATTTGATACTATCAGGTGCTAGTATTTTCATTTATTTTTCAGGAATTTGAACTTGGTCCTTGGCTGTAGTTTAGTCATACAAAATAAAGCTACTAAAGGAAACTCAAGTCAGCAAAGCCAGTCCTCTTCCCTGCAGGGACAATTTGCTTAGTATCAGGGAGCTGGAGGACATAACTGAGCTTGGGATTGTGCAGCATCTCAGATCAGCCCACGCACGGCCTCCCTTTACAGCTGTCTGACACACATGCTACAACAGTTTATGAGGTCAAAAGAAAACCTGAGGTAGTTGGTTCTCTCTTTCCACCGTGGAGGTACTAGGGACTGTACTCAGGTCATCGGGCTTCATGGCAGGTGACCCGAAAAGTTTCTAAAAGACATAATCTCATGTGGTTCAGGCTGGCTGGAACTTGTTACAGCCTAGGCTGGTCTAGACCTCTTCCTTCAGAGTGCTAGAAATATAGGGGTATTCCACCAGTCCAAATTAAGTATTCACATTTTAGAATTAAGTATGAAATAAGGGTGGGTTGCACACTGCTCTCATGGCTATTTGGAGACTGTGGCAGAGTACAGTGAGGAGGGGAACTGAAGGAGCAGAGTCACAGTGGGGGGAGGCAGGAGTAGTCAAACACGGAAGAGACAGGGACAGAAGACGCTGAGGCATTAACACTTCATTTAGAATTTCTCACCTACAATCTGCTTATTAGAAATGCAGCCTGTCTATAAAAAAAGCTCTCATCATTTATCAGAGATGGACCTTGTAAATGTTTTTGCAGATGCTTCTTTGTTCATATTTTTTCTACTTTAAGAAGTATTTTTTAGAGGACATGGTACAGTGTAAGGATTTAACACTTATTCCCACAATTATAATTGGCAAAGGAATAAGAAAATCCAAACATGAAATAAAATACAAACATGAAGTACTATTAATAAGTACACAAAGAGTGACAGGGAGGTTCCAAAAGGACCTGGACTGGAGAGATGGCTAGGTGTCTGAATGCCGGCTGCTCTTCAAGAGGGAGTCCGACTCCTAGCATCCATGGGGCTCACCACCCAGTCTATAGCTCCAGTTCCAGGGAATCTGATACCCTCTTCTGGCAAAACTCACACATACAAAGCATTACAAATTTTAAAAAAAAAAAAAGGAGCAAAAAAAGGACCTGAACAGCTTCAGGGAAATTACTAATAAGACCCAGGGGAGGGGAAAAAAAAAAACTAGCCAAGATGGTATTGCTTATAATCCCAATGGAAGTGAAGGCAGGAGGATCCCTGGAGCTTGCTGCTTCAGGTCCCAGAGAGACTGTTTCATAAGACAAGGTGAACAGCTCCTGTGGAATGATACAGGGGGATCTCCAGCCTCCCCATGTAGGTACGTACACACGTGTACACATTCCTTCTTGGCCTCAGAAGGCTGGGTTTTTCCTTGTATTTGGGAGTGCTGCTGAGGGTGAAAGAGTGTTGACCCAGAAAAGGGAAGAGTGGTTTGCAATATAAGAGCTGAAAAATCAAATTAAAGACAACTGATCAAAACTTCCAAAGCCAGTCTCAGAAGGGTCCACATAGCAATCTGCTAGGCAATGTAACATGAAAATTTATTTTGCTAAAAAAACAAGGTATTTTTCTATAATGGTTGATGGTATCTACTAAGCTATCCCTTGTCTTTGACAGTTACAACTGCAGCCTAAGGCCCACTATGGCTTATTTTGGTAAGCACTTTCAGGCATCTTCTCTAAAAGACACGGGCAGGACACACTGTGCTGGGTATGCTGCCGTCTGTGTTTTAAATAATGGCTCTCTCTACTTGTCATCAATGTCATGAAGATGCTGACTACCTACCATCTATAGGCCAGGATGCCAGGTCCCAATGCCCAGTGCTTAGTACCTGGCAGTTGCTCAAAAAACGCACTGCATCTATCAGACTGCCAGCACTCACTTGAGCTAGAAAAACAGGCCTCTCTTCCCTTTTAGCCGTCTCTTAAGCACTGTTCCCAAACAGCAGTTTTGCCTTGAGAAAGACAATTTTGGCCTCTTGAAGAAAGTGATCGAGTCAATGTAGTTGTTGTTGTTGTTTTTTTTTTTAATCATAAAGATAACATGGGGGAGAGGGTGGGTGGGAGGTAACTCAGCAGGTAAAATGCTTGCCTTGTGATCATGAACATTTGAGTTCAATCCCTAGAATCCCCATAAAAGTTTGGCTCACAGTGCGCATCTATAATCAGGTGGCAGGCACAGGAGGATTTCTGGGGCTTGTTTGACAGTCAGTCTGGCAGAAAGGATGAACTCCAGATTCACTCAGAGAATCTGTCTCAAAAATAAGGTAAATAGTAAATGAAGTCACTCCGTGTCACCTTTGGCCTCCACATGCACGTGCACACACAGGTACACAAACCCACACTCATATCTACACACACACACTCAATAAAAACGAAACTAAAAATTGTAAATGCAGGATCTGTGCAACTCTCCCTTCTCACATTCAGGTTACACTGAAGTCTGACACTTGCACAGCTAGGAGCAGTCTGGAGTTTAGACTGGGGATGATCAACCTGTACAGTCTACAATAGTCCAAAATCTGAGGAGGGGGAGAATAACTTAAACATATGTGGTTGCAAGCATTTCAGAAAAGAATACCTGCCCCTCCCATACAAATTGAGCTTGGCTTCCATCTGCCCTCATGTACTCTGTGTAGGTGGCTGTCAAAAAAATCGGGTGGGGGGGGACGGGGACACGACAACAGTAAGTACACAGTCTCAAGAGTTTTCCCAGTTTCTCTTTAGGAGAGGATCATCCACATATCAGCAGAGAATTCCTATTCTAGGGTTCCAGCCCTAGCCTCTCTTGCTGATGTGCAGCAAAATTAAGTTTTGGTAGAACAATCAGCTACACTCCTCCCTAACTCTGTCACAAACATCAACAAAAGTATGATGCCCAATCACTTGTCCTAGGAACAATGAATTCCTCTGACTGACCATCACAGTTTCTTCTTGTCATGGCCAAAAAAAAAAAAAAAAAAAAATCATGCTTTACAACTGGCCTAACAGCGTGTACACACTTCTGAAAATAAAGTCCCCACAGACATGGATGTAGGGAAGGAAAACCACCTGACACTTGAAGTTGGTACATTCACAATACCAGGTAAAACTATAACGCGCTCCTCCACTTCCCCCTAAACTTATTAAGGTTTTACTTGAATTGCATACGTTCTAAGGAACCGGAAGGGACTCCTCCATCGCTCAGCTCAAGGACGTTTCACTCTGTATGTTGTGGGAAGTACACACACGGAGACATCACCAAAGTATCTAAGCACTGAAAACATGGATTTCTGAAACCTCCAGGCCAGACTGAGTTCTTTTGCCAGAGGACACGCACTTGACCTTCCAATTCAAGTTCAACACAAGGCATCAAGGCTTGGAAGAAAAATTCAACAGCTTTAAGAAAACTGTTCCCGGGGCAAAGAGCGGAGAGCACTTCCTAGAACGTTCTATTTGGGGCTGCACCTTTCCCCTCATTGCCGCTCCGTGCGATTTTCTTCATAAAATTCTCCCACTGGAAACAATACAAAACGCGTGTCCTTTCCTCGCGCAACACTAATCGCCAGAGAGAGCTCGAAGCCGCTACCGTGCCTCCAACGCCCGCCACAGCTGGGTGCGCGACAGGCGCCCAAAGGCGCTCGGAACGAACGGCGCCGCCGCCGCGAGTTCCTATCCAAGTTTGGGCAATTGGGCCTCGCCCACGCTTTGCACAAACCCTGCATCCTACTCTTTCTAGATTTTTCCCAACTTTTGCCTCCAGAACCGACAATTTCGATCTCTTAAGGAAAAGTTTCCATTTCATCAACAGCCCGGGAAATGTGGCGCGGCTGACTGCCGGGTCCTGGGAGACCGCGGGAAGGCCGTGCTGCGGGGCCGCGCGCTCCCGAGCAGGCCGAGGCCGCGTTCCCGTCCCGAGTGCGCGCTCGGCGACGCGGCCCAGCGCGGCGGGAGCCCAGACCCGAGCGGCCGGCCCTACAGGCCGTTGGGACCTACCTGGCCCACTTGCTCCGTGGCATCGGCGAGGATGCCGTAGTTGCGGTACAGTTCCTCCACCGTCGGCATGCTGAGCGCCAAGTTCCGGGCCCGCTCCCGTAGCCCAACACCTCGTCGGCGCCACCGCCGCCTCCACGGAACTTATCTAAGCGGTCGACCGCAATACTACGCCGGCAGCCGCCGCCGGGCCGCCACCAGTCAGCGCGTACAGCACGGCCCCGCCCCCAACGTCTACGCGGAGACTGGCGCGTCGGGAGCGGCCCGCGGCTCCAGGCGAGCCTCGGGACGGGGATCTATCGCCCCCTACCGCTCGGCGGTTCGAAAAGCCGCGATAATGACTTGAATGATTGGCTAGGAGCGTCTGGTCCTTGCTGGTGGCAAAATGCCAAGGCAATTGCTTTTTATGCTTGGCAAAGTTCTTACACTTACCAGAAATGGGGAAAGATACCAGGGGAGAAACTGGAAGCACAAAATATTTGAGAATCTACAAAACCCATTTCCTTTTCATTCAGAAGGGTGGCAATAGGGGAAAACATCCAAGTGCCATTAAATTAGAAAGGGGTGTTGGGGAGGCTGGGGAGCCTGTTGGGCAAGTTTGAGGACCTGACTTCGAGCGCCTGAACCCATGTAAAAAGCTGCATGGGACAGCTTGTGGGTGTGTAATCTCAGCACTGGGAAGATGTAGAATGATGGATTACTGGAGCTGGTTGGGGAGTCAGCCAAACCAGTGAATTCCAAACTCATTTAAGAGGCCTGCCTCAAAAGGTGGTGGGGCCAGAAAGATAGTTCAAAGGGTCAATGTGCTTGACCATTTAAGTCCGACAACCTGGAACCCACACTGGAAAAAGAGAACAAACTCTGAGAAGTTATACTCTAATCTGTCCACATTCCATTGTGTACATGTGTCCTTGAATGTATACACATGCACGCATACAGGAACACACATACACAGGAGAGGGAGAGGAAAGAAATGGGAGGGGGGGCGGTGTCTAAGCTTGCCAGTTCAAGTCCTGGGATTCATATTCATATTCAGTGTCAGACTCTGATGGCAGCAGCCTTAACTCGTGTATTATATAGCTTCCTGGTTAAGGTGCTCATTTCTGATAAGTCAGGCTAGAGTCCTCTAGTTCCTTATCAAAGCACCACCAACCTCCTAATGTGACTTGGGCCTTGTCAGGAGAACTTGACATATGTGTTATGGGGCCTCCTATATATAAATACTTGTTGAGAATGAACTAGAATTGTAGAAGTGCTCAGGACAGACGGGACATAATGCACACTAATACACAATGTCTGTCCCCTTCCCTTTTCACACACACACACACACACACACACACACAAAGAATATTTGATCTTTGGTTGTTTCAAGTTGGTTTCTGAAGACCATTCTTTCCCTGCCATCTTGTTGTTTGACCTAGGAGAGCCGCTGGTATAGGTGAAACTTGAAATAGTCTGCTGGAGGAGATTTTCTAACTCAAAGGAGGCCCAGTCTTATTCTATTCATGCCTTTGACTACTAGGATGTCCACACCCACACTAAGGCTGGCAACTTGCTATGACATATATTATCAAGTCTCTGCCACCCAAAAATACCTGTGCAGAAGCACTGCAGTGGTTTGAACATTGTGCCCCCCAGGATAAAAGTTTGAGCCCTAGAGCCGTGCTGTTGAGAGATGGTGGGAACCTTAAGAACTGAGGTCTAATGAGAGGTCTTTCTTTGGGTCATCAGTGGCACACATTTGACGGATTGATTGATGGGATCCTGGCCCTTCCTCTTCGTGTGTGTGTGTGTGTGTGTGTGTGTGTGGTAGTAGTAGGCTAGAGGTTGACTTTAAGTGTCTCTCTCCTTTGTTTTCATGACAGAGTAGGTCTCCCACTGAACCCAGAACATAGTTGTTCAGCTGGATAGCAAGTCCAAGGAATCCTCTTGTCCTTCAGCTGATTTCTCATCCTCCTCCTCTTCCTCCCCGCCAGCACTAGCACTAGTACTAGTATTACAGACTACAAATTGTGTTAAACATTTTCTCTTTTAACTTGATTAATACTGTTATAGCAGTGTAAAGGTGACTAACAACTACAAGAGCATTTGATCACATGTCTGGGCACCTCCACATGGCCCAGCCAAAGTGATACAGAAAATCAGCTGCCATGGGGCTCAGCACCTAATTCTGAAAACATTAATGGAGAGACTCCTAATACCCAGCCTGAGTTCCTAAGCACTCCTTAGAGTGTGTCAGTTGGTGACAAGAGCCAATCAGCTAAACTTAGTAAGTTTAAAAAGCAAGGGCAGGCCTTTTGGCTGGGGCAGACACCTAGCTGGTCTGCTCCCATGAACACACCATATCCTGAGACATCCTAGAGGAGCCACTGAACTCAGAGCAGTGGGTAAGAACTTCCTCCCACTACCCTACACCCCAGAGCTACAACTGACAGCCTGGGGAGCTGAGGACCAATCAGCCACCCAAACCCTGCCCCACCGGAATACCACTCCCCTTCTGCCCCTCGATTGGTCCTTTTGGCTGGGGCAGACACCTAGCTGGTCTGCTCCAGTGAGAACACCATATCCTGAGCCATTCTAGAGGAACCACTGCACTCAGAGCAGCAGGATTTCAGGATCCCAGAGGCAGCCTGAGTTCCTGGAGTTCTTCTACCCAGGAGCTCAGGATCACAGGATCACAGAGACACCTGGACTCTGAGGAGTTCTGACACAAGCAAGATAACTGGAAAGACAGGCTCCAGTCAGAGACAGAGCAGGTAGCCCTAGAGTTAAACAGATGGCAAAAGGCAAGTGCAAGAACATAAGCAACAGAAACCAAAGTTACTTGGCATCATCGGAACCCAGTTCTCCCATCATAGCAAGCCCTGGACACCCCATCACACTGGAAAAGCAGGATTCAGAATTAAAATTACTTCTCATGATGATGATAGAGGACTTTAAGAAGGATATAAATAACTCCCTTAAAGAAGTACAGGAGAACACAGGTAAACAGGTAGAAGACCTTAAAGAGGAAACACAAAAATCCCTTAAAGAATTGCAAGAAAACACAACCAAACAGGTGAAAGAATTAAACAAAACCATTCAGGATCTAAAAATGGAAGTAGAAACAATAAGGAAATCTCAAAGGGAGACTATCCTGGAGATAGAAAACCTAGGAAAGAGATCAGGAGTCATAGATGCAAGCCTCACCAAAAGAATACAAGAGATAGAAGAGAGAATCTCATGTGCAGAAGATGCCATGGAAAACATTGACACAACTGTCAAAGAAAAATGCAAAATACAAAAAGCAAAAAGCTCCTAACCCAAAACATCCAGGAAATCCAGGACACAATGAGAAGACCAAACCTAAGGATAATAGGTATAGATGAGAATGAAGATTCCCAACTTAAAGGGCCAGTAAATATCTTCAACAAATTTATAGAGGAAAATGTCCCTAACCTAAAGAAAGAAATGTCCGTGAACATACAAGAAGCCTACAGAATTCCAAATAGACTAGACCAGAAAAGAGATTCCTCCTATCACATAATAATCAAAACATCAAATGCACAAAACAAAGAAAAATACTAAAAGCAGAAAAAGGGAAAAAGGTAAAGTAACATATAAAGGCAGACCTATTAGAATTACACCAGACTTCTCACCAGAGATTATAAAAGCCAGAAGATCCCGGACTGATATCATACAGACCCTAAGAGAACACAAATGCCAGCCCAGACTACTATACCCAGCAAAACTCTCAATCGCTATAGATAGACAAACCAAGATATTACATGACAAAACAAAACTCACACAATATTTTACCACAAACCCAGCACTTCAAAGGATAATTGATGGAAAACTCCAACACAAGGAAGGAAACTACAACCTAGAAAAAACATGGAAGTAATATTCCAACAACCCCAAAAGAAGATAGCTACACAAACATAATTCCACCTCTAATGACAAAAATAACAGGAAGCAACAATCGTTTTTCCTTAATATCTCTTAACATCAATGGACTCAACTCTCCAATAAAAAGACGCAGACTATCAGACTGGATACATAAACAGGACCCAGAATTTTGCTGCATACAGGAAACACACCTCAGTGTCAAAGACAGACACTACCTTAGAGTAAAAGGAAGAAAAATAATTTTCCAAGCAAATGGTCCCAAGAAACAAGCTGGAGTAGCCATTCTAATATCAAATAAAATTGACTGTCAACCAAAAGTAATCAACAAAGATAAGGAAGGACACTTCATACTTATCAAAGGAAAAATCTACCAAGATGGACTCTCAATTCTGGACACCTATGCTGCAAATGCAAGGGCACCCACATACATAAAAGAAACTTTACTAAAGTTCAAAGTACACATTGCACCTCACACAATAATAGTGGGGGATTTCAACACCCCACTCTCAGCAATAAACAGATCATGGAAGCAGAAACTAAACAGAGACACAATGAAATTAACAGAAGTTATGAACCAAACAGATTTAACAGATATATAGAGAACATTTCATCCTAAAACAAAAGAATATACCTTTTTCTCAGCACTTCATGGCACATTCTCCAAAATAGACCACATAATTGGTCACAAAACAGGCCTCAACAGATACAACAAGACTGAAATAATCCCTTACATCCTCTCAGATCACCACCGACTAAGGCTGGTTTTTAATAATGACAAAATCAATGGAAAGCCCACACACACATGGAAACTGAACAACACTCTACTCAATGATGACTTGCCCAAGGAAGAAATAAAGAAAGAAATTAAAGACTTACTAGAATTTAATGAAAATGCAGACACATCATACCAAAACTTGTGAGACTCCGTGAAAGCAGTGCTAAGAAGAAAACTCATAGCTCTAAGTACTTACAAAAAGAAACTGGAGAGAGCACACACTAACAACTTGACAGCACACCTGGAAGCTCTAGAACAAAAAGAAGCAAATACACCCAAGAGGAGTAGACAGCAGGAAATAATCAAATTCAGGGCTGAAATCAACCAAGTAGAAATCGAAAGAACTATACAAAATATCAACAAAACCAGGAGCTGATTCTTTGAGAAAAACAACAAGATAGATAAACCTTAGTCAGACTAACCAGAGGGCACAGAGACAGTATCCAAATTAATAAAATCAGAACTGAGAAGGTAGACATAACAACAG